GAATGTTATTGCCCCAGCCCCATCCCACCACCCCACTCAGTACCCAGGTGCCATCTCCCGAGAACGTTATTAGCCCAGCCCCATCCCACCACCCCGCCCAACCTACTGTGATGCAGTACCCTGCCATCTCGCAGGAACGTTATTGCCCCATCCTACGGCCCCACCTAACCTACTGTGCATTTGGTTGCTGAATCGTTGTTTTTTGGTTGCTGAACCGGCGGAATGTTGGTTCTGAATCGCGAAAATTTAGTTTCTGAATCGCAAATTGTTGGTTTCTGAATCGCGCCATTTTGGTTGCTGAATCGCGGATTTTTGGTTTCTGAATCGGACTTTATCCGAAGCCATCGCCTGCAAGAAGGAGCCACCCAAGTGTAGCCATCTGGGCAATAGGACGAATACGTGTTCCCTGTAATGACCTGGCGTGGAAAGAATGTGTTAGGTTGGTTTTGCACAAAACTGAGCTGCGTGAACCTTAAAAAAGAAGTTGCACTCGCGGAATTCGACTAAGGCTTAAGCCACCCCCGCATCATCTCCAGTGACCCTCCAATAGTTGTAGGCGGTTGAGTTGTGCGACATTGTAGTGGCAGCGCATGGCATAAACTCCGCGCTGGTATTGAGGACAGTCACATTGTCGAAGTACTTCCAAGGTTGATGCCAGCCTGCTGAAACCACCCGAAAGACTCTTCAACAATTGTGCAAATCGCACTGCGATCCCCCGCATTGCCAACAAGAGGCCGCTGGGAAACCCAACAAACGGACTCATGGGGGCTGGGATGTACTGGTGAAATCCAGGACAAGACGGTGTACTGATGCCTTCCTGGTGTGAAGGCGCGTGCAGGGAAGAAACTGCGCTTTCCGGGAAGAAACTTCTACAGAAATTGTATCCCCGAAGCTGCCCCACGCTTGCTTCAACACACTGAGGCAGATTGTCTGTCGTTGGCCCTCACCAACTCGGCCAGGACACTTGCATTGTAGCTTTTGTAGTACTCCATGGCAGCTCCCTCCGCTGCTCCAGTGTCCAAAACGTTTCGGGGCACGTACATGCCAGCACCACCTGAGTGAATCGTCTGTTTGGACACCAAAATTTTGGATGTCACAGGTGTTGAGCATTTTCCTTTTGAGCCACTGTCTGAGCCAAACTCACAATAAGCCATAAGCAATGCATGAAGCTGCTTCCTGTGGCAAGTTTGAGAGCGAGGCACCTTTATAGCCCATGCCTCCTCCCGAGATGGGCATCTCACCCTGTGCCGTCGCGACGGGTCCACAAAAAGAAATAACACGCATCACCGCTCGAGAGTTCCTTTACATATCTTTACATGATCAGCGTCCGCCGCGTCCACCATACAACAAAGCTGTACTACGCAGCCTGATATTTCTCGGTGAGGGCAGCAATGACGTTGGGGAAGGTTGTCCACCAACTGTCCATCACCATGTGAATGCGCACTTTACCTTCGAACTCAAACTAATACGCCACTATAACTCGGAAACGCCACAACAGTTGCTAAAGCGCATGAACGGCATCAAGAAGCGAATAAAAACAGCGAGCGAAGTTGCGGTTGTCACAACCACGGTCATCGGCATTGTACCATGTGGCACACCCCAGAGTGGCATACATTCCCTGCACGCTGGAAGACAGCGGCGTTGGCTCCACTCCTGGCAATCGAATCCGAATCCGAGAAAGCCTGCGTGCACAAACACACATACATGCATATATATATATATACATATACACACACCAAACTCATTCAAGCTCCATCACGAAATGCAACTCAGCTTCGGGTGTTGTATCCCAAGACTTCTTCGGTGAGAATCTCGATCATTGCACTGGTCAGCCCTGCGCTGGCCCACGTAAAGACCGCCACCCCCACGGGGAAGGACTCCCCTGCGATATTCGTCAGGTTGCGCCGTTGATCCACAGCCACAGCGTCCGGCAAACAAGTGCTGGTCAAAGTGCCGCTCGCCAAGGCAAGCTGGGCAATGAACAGCCACGATTCAGACCTGGCATGGAAAGCAAAACGCTTAAAAAGAACAAAACGCTTTCCGGACATGTCGAGCGACGAGGTGAGCGGAACGGACGGACGAGACCGTGACTGCGGAGGTGACGGCGGTGCCTGCCTCATGCTCCTCCGGGCAGTTGCAATTCTCCAATGAGCTCTGCAAGGGACTGTTCTTGAGGAAACTTGAGCAACAAATGCTGCAGGACATGCAGTCCGGCACTGGGGCAGTTGAGGAGGTTCCCTGATCTCGAAGGTTCTATCACTGCTCTTGGACTACCTTTCGATCGGCTACTATGACACCACCACAGGTACTGTCCGCACATGTTGCAAGAGAAACTCATTCCGACAATCTCAAAGGCTGGGGCGGCGAGAGAGCTTCAAGCAAAACACTTTCGTTTGTAGACTGCCAGTGCAAAGGCTAGACTATGCACAATCTCAACCTCAACTTGCCAAGAGTTTCAACCACCTAAAATCAGGGATCATTGCACCCTGATGTAGTCTTTCCGATCAACCACCTAATTACTCACTAGGAAGTGTCTCCAAGAGCCTCTGCATGTCTCTGCGCATCGTCCAGGCGACTGTGGACCTGGCCCACATCAAACAAAGGAGTGTGTGAGGACTAAGGAGCTTCGTTTGCAGATGCATATTCGCAGGGCCACCGCAAGTGCCTTCCAACCTTGCCCACTACAGTTGGCCTGCCAGGCTTGCGATCAACTGTTGAATTGTCACAGGCCTCTTGGTTCAATTCTGCACTTGGATCCCCACGAAGAGCACAGTCTGTGTGTACACATGTACCTAAACCACCCATCCAATGAATGCGATGAACGGTCCACAAATGTCCTATCTATTCATGAAACTGATGACGGGTGAGTAGGATTGTATGAAGTAGCGAATTCCCACGGTCACAATGGAAATTTCAAATTCATTGATTTTTGTACACTCTACCATTCATGTTGTTCGTGTGTCATATTAAGAACTTGTGACTTATGTAGTCTTGTCGTACTAATCCTTTTTGATATGTGCTTGCGTTCATGACTAACTTTAATTGGATGCTGGTTGACAAAGAGAGCAAAAACAGGAGACCAAAGACCCATAGGCTGTGGAAAAAGTGGTTCTCTGATTAAAAGTATCACCAGTAGATTATCAATGTTCGTGTGATTCTCTATTGTTCATTCCCTATCCATCTCAACGAGAACCTTAAGGTGGATACGGGGCCAGGCGATCGACAGGCGATCAAGGGTTAACCGTTAATCGATGGGGCACAATGGCTCGCTAGGGCCGCTAGGGTGTTGGGGATCCAACCACCCATCCAGCCACCACTGTGCGCCGGTCCAACCCTATCAAAAGTTGTGGTTGTAAGCGATGGAAGAAGCCACATGTGATTGAAATTCTCGTCAATGCGATCGATTTGTCCGGTCAAATTACAGTAACCCGATCCCCTTCTTTCCTGCTCTTGAGGTTACTCTGCCAGGCCAAGACCAGGAGGGTCCACATCCAAGAAGGGGCCCCCCTCTGCCTCTTCCCTGCAGCACTCTGCCTCTTCCTTGAGCCTCAATATGGAAGAGACTGATGGACCCTTTCTTGGATCTGGGGTTCAGCCGTTCTGGGCACCGCCCAAACCCCTTAGATCTCTCTTTCATGCCGAGCCCACACCTCCGCACGCAGCTTCTCCTCGGCTTCCTGGAGGCGCTCCGCGATGGCCTCGCCCGAACAAAGGGAGGCGTCTCCAAAACGAGTCGCACGCGTGCACTGGTGACACCAAACCACAAGATGTTCAGCCTACAGCAACCTGGACATTTGGACATCAGAGTGTGCCGGTCTTGAATTGTTGGACTTGGACTTTGGGATCAAGCGAACGTGGATTTTACTGTTGCTGCGCAATTCCGCGTGAACGGAGAATTTAGGCTCTTAAACTCTGTGACCCCAAGTCACTGTCCCAAAGGTTGTAGTTGAAGCTTAGGCCCACTTTTAGCTCACGCTTGACTGAGCTCTGGTGTCGAAATGAACACAAAACTTGAACAAACGGCTGCAGTGAAACATACATCTATACAAGCTATGTCATGTACATGCCACTGGTGCTACATCTGATCACGCCTCCCGAGTTTAACTTCTGGGAGATGTTAAGCGAGTCAGGATTAGCACTGTTCACTAGCTAACTAAGTGCTGAATTAGCTCGTAGCCCTTCAGTACTTCTTCAAGACCAAGATGTACCTACTCTAGCTCAAGCCGTTCACGCTTTCAAAGTCAGTTCATGCTCACCTTCCAAGTAGTGGAAGTTCATGCCTTTCATGGCTGTAGTCATTTTCTCCTCGACCGCTTTCGTAAGCACGTCGGCTAACATTCGGTCGGTGCCTTCCTTCTTGAGACGAAACTCTTTCTTTGCTGTACGCTCTTGTACCCAGTGGTACTGAGTGTCAACATGTTTAGCTCGTCCCAAGCCTCGACGGTTTCCCATGGCGATGCCAGCGGAAGCGTCCATTGTCACCTCTTTGCTGGGAAACAATCCCCAGTCTCTTGCAGTTGATGCGACTCCAAGCATCTGACATTCTCCTGAAACAAGTCCGTAGAACTCGGACTCGCCACTGCTTAGGGAGACAACTCCTTGGCCCTTGCTGTACGTAGTGAGACAGCATTTGTTGGCCATGAGCACGCCTCCTGACACACTCTTTCGTGTCCTTATGCAACCTGCATGGTCGGCGTCTGACCACATGTTGAAGGGGTTGCAGGTGCTTTGGTTTGGAAACAACTGTGCAACTCTTGGTCGATACCTGACATATCGAGCCAATCGTTTCAGCATATTCCAGTGCCTCGATGTTGGGTTCTGTAGACCTTGTGCCAACGAGCGCGTTGCAGTTTGCAGATCAGGTCGATCCTGTGCCAAATACGCGGCTCTCATAGCAATAGATCTATACATCGTTGCATCTTCGGCACTCAGCGGAACTTCTTCGTGTTGGAGTTCCTCTTGACTTGGCTTGGCCAAAGGTGTCTTGACCTTGCCTGGTTGACCAGTGCCTAGCCATTTGATGATCAACTCTGCATGTCTTGGATCTGGTTCCCACCAAATGCCTTCATTTGACCAGGTGATGATACGATTCAGCACTCTGATCTGTTGACTTGCTTTTGGTGAACCTGGTGGACCGAGAATGCCTCGTTCCACAACTTGCCATTCTTTGGCTGCTGAAGTGTGAAACCATTTGATGTCATCAAAACTTCCAACGGTCGTGAAATCATCTCCATGCACTTCTTTTCGCAGTTCTCTGGATGCATGGTAGTAAATGCATGGATTGGACTTGCCTTGAACAAATCCCAGCTTCTTCATGAACTCTGCAATGGTCAGCTCCCAATTCATGGGTGCGTCTCTGGTGCCGTATAGGCTTCTGACCAATTTTCCTACCACATCTCCATCTTCAGGTCTCTTGCCTTCTGATGGAATTTCAACATAGAGTTCTCTTGTTGCTTTGGAGTAGAAATGAGCTCTCTTCACATCCAAAAATCCTAGAAAAGATTGTTTTGATTTTCTTCTCTCGCCTTTCTCCAATGGAAGGCTGTCACTGACTGCGATGGTTAGCAGTAGCTTCAAAGCTGCTAGGCTCGGCATGGCTGCGAAAAATTCGTCAAAACCTGAGCCTCTTTTGATTTCTTGTGCTACCAATCGACTTCTGTAGAGAGGATTGGTTTCATCTTGCTTGTTCACATCTACCCATCGAGTTCCAATGATTTTGGTTCCTTTTGGAACTTTGCTTCTTGGGCCTCGGCCTCTTCAATGGCCTTCTGGATCGTCTCAGACTTCTTCTCATACAGTTCACGGTTGGACTGCATGGTCTCTTGGATTGCTTGGTTCATGACAGCAATCCCAGCAGATGCAATTCCAGGACGACCTTTTCCAGCTCCTGGCTTCTTTGGCATAGCCTTGACTTCAGTCTCAGCTTTTGCCTTGGCTGCTCCACGAGAAATTGCGGCAGGTGCTGCTTTCTCCATCTCGATGGCAAAGAGGGTGGCGATGTCAGCGGAATACTCAGGCTCGGGTTGATGCTCTTGAGCCATAGAGGTTTCAGATTCCTCAACTGAAGCTACCTTCTTACTCTTACTCTTGCCTTTACCTTTAGAGTCTTTTCCTTTGCCACCTTTGCCTTTACCCTTGGAGTTTTGGTTGTACCAACTACTCTTGTTCCAATCATTCTTATACCCATCATTCTTGTTCCATGAGGGGTTCCATGAAGAGGAGTTGGACCATGAAGAACCTTTTCCCTTCTGTTTACCTTTGTCGTTTCCCTTGCCCCCATCTTGACTCTTTCCTTTTCCTTTGCCGCCTTTTGAGCCACCTTTGCCTTTTCCTTTGGCTTTGGCCAGACTTGCAAGTGAAGCTTGCATCTGGCTGGCAGCTGCGGCTAATGCATCAACATCCATTGGTGCTGATCCAGTCTTTGCTTCTCTTCGGCTTTCGATGTTCTCGTGGTAGGCCAAAATCTCTGACTTCATGATGGCGTAGTCAGTGAGTCTTGAACTCTGGAGGTCAAGGTGATCTTGGAGCTTGGCTGGACACATCTGCTGAAGACAACTTCTTGCAATGTCATCATCAAGAGCTTTCTTCTTTCGCTCTTCATACTTTCGCCTGATGTTCTCCCAGGCTTCTATGCTCTCTCTGAGCTTGTCCAATGCACACTGTTGTGGGTGCAGGACCTTCTTCAGCAAAGCTGAGTTTGCTTGTGGGTTCTGTGGATCATACTTAGTGATCAATCGTCTCAAAGCCTCTAGGCCAAAGTGCTGACCTCTGGAGGTATTCTTGACAATCTCGAGGGCTTCTCCCTCACACAGTGAGATCAGAGCCTGTCGGGCCTGAGCTGAAACAAGCTCGGCTCCTTCAGGATAATCATCTTCCAGAGATGTCTCATTGATCTCTGTGTCTTGATGCTCTTCGAGGAGCTGAATGCACTTTTCTGCATTCTTGTGACTTGTCTCAATCCAAGTCTTGAACTTGAAGTACCATGAGTCCCAGGTACCTGTGTGTCCACTGAACTTGTCAGGCTTTGGAGTGCCTTTCAATTCTGATCTGTCTCTTACTTCTACGCTGGTGGCTATGTTCCTTGTGATCGCCGTTTGTTGTGTGTATGCTTCTGCCATTGCTCGTTGCAATTGGCTCTGCCCCTGTGCTAGGGCTTGCATCATCTGTGCAAATTGTTGTGCCATGTCTGTGGCTTGTGGTGCCTGTGCTCCTGGCTGTTGCGCCATGCTGACTTGCTGCCAGGGATTGAAGCAATCCGGCTTTCCTGCAAGCGATGCTTGTGTTTGTAGATTTCCGGTGCCAGAGCCGATGCGGCTCGGCAACCTTCGATTCGCAGACGGTAGCCGGGTCTTAGAACCGCGGCTCCGCTACCATGAACGGAGAATTTAGGCTCTTAAACTCTGTGACCCCAAGTCACTGTCCCAAAGGTTGTAGTTGAAGCTTAGGCCCACTTTTAGCTCACGCTTGACTGAGCTCTGGTGTCGAAATGAACACAAAACTTGAACAAACGGCTGCAGTGAAACATACATCTATACAAGCTATGTCATGTACATGCCACTGGTGCTACATCTGATCACCGCGGATAAACATTATAAAAGAAAACATGCTGCCAACAAGTGTTTGTATGAAAGTATGGTAGGTATATAATTGGTTCACCTTCAGCCAGTTGATACCAAAAACGCAAGTATAAACACCCAGATGTGCCTTCAACACTGCAAAGACTGTAGTTTTCACATGAGTTCATGGGGAGGCAAACAATAAAAAATATAAATACAACTACCATCTAAAAACATTTTGTGGAACATCTGGGGCTCCCCGTGTTTTTTCCGCTGCCTGGTCTAGTTTCTCCTCAGCCTCCTTTAACCGCGCGGCCTTTTCTTCCTGGAGTCGATGAGGCACAGTGGCGCGGCCAAGCAGGGACAACAAGCAGGTTTAGCAGAGTTGAAGAATTCTCAGGTTTGTAGGAGGACCGTCCGTTTGTATGGGGATTCAGGTATCAAACAAGAGAGAAGTTCCATCGAAGTAGGCACGGCACGGCGGGCGTTCGTACGGCAAAGGACAATGCCTGTTTTGACAATCCCTCACAAATCCCCCTAGAATGTTGTTCAGGGTGTCGACAGACTCTTTCCCCCGGGCAATCAGGGCAGGCACAGGTAAGCAAGCTCCCTGCAACTGCTCCTCTTTGGAAACTCGCCCTTTTGGTGCCCACCGACGGCCACCGAGGCCCACGCAGCCAACGTGGCGGACGCGGCCGGAGTCCTGCAACTTGCGTTCGGCCTCCGACACCTGCGCCGCGCGCTCCGCCTCCACCTCCGCCCTCCAACGGGAGAGCTGCAGGTCCTCCGGCCAGAGCTGACGTCAACTCGAACAGACCTCGATTAACCCAAATTCCAAATGGAGCCCCTCACAAGCCGGAAACAAGTAACCCCAAGAAAAAACCCAACAGCTGGGCATCGATTTGCTGACTCAGCAATGGCAACGGATGGCATGTGTCAATATGCTTGCAACGTTTGCACAGTGATAATCAAGTGGTGTGTTCAAAAGTGTGGACTTGCTCAATGCCATGCATGCATGACAACGCAGCACTATGTCCATGGCACATGTGCCCACGATGACCCAATTTCCGCGTCTCAGCATAACCAGGTGTCTGCCCAGCATGCCAGCATGTCAGCGTGAGAGCTTGACGTGCCCCGGAAGCTGCTCCGGAACTTGCTCGGGAACCTGCTCCAATCTGCTCCCAGTCGTTACTAAAGACCCTAAGAATCGCTGCTGGGGAAAAACTTCCGATGCAAACGTGAAGGTTTGGGGTTGGTTGCAGGTTGAGCCTGGATCCAGAGGATCCTTTGGAAACAAAGATCCTTGTCTCAGGGTGATGGTTCCTTCCGAACTTTGCTTTATCAAGTGACGGACCTTTAAAAAGAATCTGATGCGGTTCGTCCCGATGCTGTGACAGGCCATGTGAGGCGCGTGAGGCACACTGTGTGGAGCCTAGCCACATCCAGAAGGTCATTCAACCCGACAAGGTGCTCACTGAAGAAAAGCAGGGTGGCCAGGCACCAGAAAATTCCAGCAACCGATCGTTGAGAGTGGGTCAAGCCCCCAGCTGTCTTGAGCCCGGCCGAGCTCCAATTGCAAGGCCCAAATCGGCCTGGTTTGGTTGCTCAGAGTGCTCGACGGGCTCACTGTCATCCTCAGGCATGGGCAGTTCGTGGATATGCGCTAGGGCCAGGGTGTCTCCAACCAAAGGTGGTGGGTTTTCTCTACTGACACATAGGGAAACCATGCGGTCCACTGCCGGATGGGCACGAAACACTTTGGTGACCTTCGCCAGGCTCCTGCTGATTCGACTCTTCAAGGTAGAGCAGAGTCATAAATAAAACCCTCCCTTATCATCCCTTATCAAGAGGTGTTTCAACTCAAGTGGGGTGGATTCATCAATTAAGAGTCTACATTACAGTCCCTGAACCCAACCAAAAGGGACATCGTCCGAACAAGGAAGATCTCGCTCGCTCGCGACTCCAGCAGCTCCGACTTCAGACCCGGGAGCGGTTCTCACCGATCGAGGAACTTCATGGCAGGTCCTTCCCCTTTGGCCCCGTGCAGCCTCCCAAGGAAAGCAAATGGCTTTCCCAAGAAAGACGCCGCAACCTTTCTGAGCTGGACTCGGTCCACTCCGTGTCGCTCCAGCGCGCAAAGGGGGACCAGAAATGCTCCAAATCACCCCAAATTGAGACTTCATTTGCGCTTAGCCACAGCTCACTTGTGGACATTGAGCTATTTTGGCCCCCAGGAATTCATCTGGTCGGGTGGGCCCACGTAGACGAATCAGAACCTGCACCCAAGCTGCGGAGATTCCTTTGAGCTCCTCCAGCTCTTTGGTGAAGGCTGCCACTGCTCGTTCGGCCCCCTGGGACTGGATCACATCGGCGGAACAGGACGCACTGAGCCCATCACAGTTCGTTCATCCCACAGGTGGAAACCTCGTGGAAGGCTCCCACGTGCCCAACGGCGATCACAAGCAGTTCAATCGTCAGGCCCCAGCCACTTTGCTACTGCTCAGTTGAAAGCATGAAGTTTTGGGGGAAAGCTGCAGGCAGTTTCTCGCCTTGATCGCCGTCTTCCTGGTTGGGATCCCAGACCTCGGGTCCAAGTCGTACATCAGATCCTTTCTACCAATGGATTTTGGACGGTTTATGTCAAGCACACCCATAATATCCTTCTCCACTCAATCCTGACCCCAAATGAAAGCAGGTTACACAGGTTCCATCAACCAAGCTTCCCTGCCCCCACCATTTTAAAGTCACACCACGTGAAATCGAATGGGAATCATCCAGCATCTACCTAGACCTAGAACCTGAATGACCTCTATAATGGACCAAAAAGAACACGTGCCACGCCTGGAGCGGCTGTCCGAACGCCTGCCGACCGGTCGAACGGGTGGTCTCTCATGATCTCATGATCTCTACCCACCAGCCATGATCCAAAAAGAAAAAAAAGAAAGGTTTAAAGGTCTAATAGCGATGGGCTCCAACCTACTTGCGATGGCCTCCAACCTAATAGCGATGGCCTCCAACTTACCTTTCTTCGCTGACCAGCCATGTAGTCCAATTCTTCAGGAAAACATGAACATTCAGTGGTCCATCCCTCAATAACCAAATCAATAAGCGGGTTTGCATCGCAACATGTGTGATCAGCGTGGTGTGGATCCTTGTGCAACAACGCTGCCACCACTCACAGCACAGACATAAAGAAGCAAACGTATATTACATATGTATATATTTATATGTGTGAATATATAAATATGTATATATATAATTATATATATATGCATGTGATATACCTGGATGTAGATGTCCGGCCTCCGCAAACGACCTTTGCGTCGGGTACGTCCTGTCAGTCAATCTGCAACTGGTGACATCTCGGAGGCTGAGCAACGCCTCATTTGGGGACACATGAGATAGGAAAGCTGCAACCTGCCTGGGCGTTTCACTACTCCTATCTCATTTCCGGGTAGTATACCATTTGCTCAAACATCTTTGCTCAGAAGGTTTCGCCGGCACGCCTCGATCGTGCCGCCGCCCATGGCGGGTCCGATGCCGCCCCTGGCGCAGCTCCGAACCATTCCCGATGTCGGCCACCAAAGGAGATTAAGCACCATATGCCGCACCAGTAACTACAGTATATATATATAACTATATATAACAGTATATTGTAGTATTAGCCTTGCATTCCATGCAGAACTTCCTTGTCCTTATCCTTCACAACGCCTCCTAGTCCCGCCGTTCACTGCCCTGAGGTTCCCGGCGTTCCGGCGCGACCGGGGCGACCGCGAGCGGCGCGAAGAGCTGGACTGGAGAGGAGGGTGGCACCGGGAGGGCAGACTGGCACAAGGAGGCAGGTGGGCCCCGGTGGGCATGGCGCAAGGAGGCTTGGAGACTTCTAGGCTTCAGCAAGGAGTTGGGTGTCTGAAGAAATGAAGAATGCCTCACCCTTTTGCCCTGGCAAGACCCGCGCTGAAGACTCGCACCTCGTCATCTTTGGAGCCTGCACACCCAAAAAGAGAGGACTTGGGCGGGTGGCCACTGAGATCGTCTAGCTGCAAAACGGTGGAAGGTAGCTACGTGAACCCTCTCTCCTGGGAACGGACAGGCTGAATAGATAGATATGAATAGCTTGAATAGCTGAACTTGACAGGGAGGATGAAAGCGGGCATTCCACTGGCGCGCCTCCACGCTTTTCAGCCGCATACTTTAGGAAGTCTTCCAAGAATTGAGTAGAATGCCTGAGGTGCAGCCCCTCGACAGCTTACTGCAAAACTTGCCAGTGCCGCAAAAAATGTCGTTCCAGTGCCAACCTATATACTTCGTGTCACAGGTTGATAAGTGGTAGTTCTTCGTTGCCTTTCCGGCCGAGGCCTAAGTCACACACTCACGCCGTCTTCGCTTTCAGATTCTGGACTGAACACACAGATCCGGCCGCGATCGCACCTAAAACCTGTCCCATCAGACAGCCTTGCTGGATCGTAGAAGCCATCCCCATGAGAATCGCAATAGGAGCGCCAGGTTTTGGCGAACGGCGCAGATGCTCTCTGATTGCTTTTCACCTGTGCCAGCGCCCATGCTAGGCAGTTCCAAATCTTTCCCAGGATGCTCAATGATCTTGAAGTGCAATCACGGGCTTCTCTTAAACTTGGAATGGACACGTTCGGTCGAAAAAACAAGGGCTTCGGTGTGGCAGCTGACTGGTCGAAAGAACTGGGACCCTTCCCGCCATTGGCTCCCTGAAGCCTGATCCACCAAGACTCGACGATGCTGGTCGGACTCATCCTGAAAATGAGGAGAACTTGCGGCTTCGAGACATTGCCATTTGCCATCGTCAAAAGCTGGACTTATGCCGCGGGCCATGGGCCAAAGCCAGACCCGAGCGGCTGAACCAGACCAAACCACATAATCACTGTGAAGTTATAAATCTACATGATATGCGTCAGGTGCCCCACATGTGCCTTCTCATGGACCGCTCTGACCCCAGCGATCGTTTTTGAATGTCTACCTCCACTGCAATCACTGTACATGTACAAGGGGAGCGAGGGTGAATCGCTCAGCCTGGCAATCGAGTCAGGTAGGAAATTAGATTTGGTTGGGCCGTGCCAGCTGCTGGCACAGCGTAGGATCAGCTCATAAACAAGCGCATAGGCAGTACCGTAATGCTGCTAAATTGTCCCAATTGCACTGGCCAGGTTCAACCAATCAACATGAATGATATGTTCTTCTCACCCGGAGTGGGATGTTCATCCTCCACATCTCCCCACGACAAGTCCTTCTCGCTCATGGAGTCCTTCCTTCTGGCTGCGCGTTCAGCGCGGTCGCATCGGCAGGACGGAGGACTCGCTTCAACTCGGGCGAGGCGGCGGAGAACGGTCGGGCACCCAGGGGCGATGCTGAGAATGAACGGAGTAAAGGTCTAACTCAAAGGAAGGATCAGGCAGGGCCCCTAATTATGTCAAAGTTGCACCCTCAGATCAAAACGAGAGCATTAGCCTATGTGAGAAACTTCAGAAAACTTCCAAAAATCAGCCAAACAACGCGCTTAAATCCCTCCCAGTGTACAGAGGACACATCAAATCTATTTGTTTCCATTCTCTCAATCTATCTGCTGTAGTCTTAAAACTCCGCATGCCGGACGTTCCTTCCGTCGGCCAAGGCACTCTAAAAGGGACCCCTTCCGACATCCGAGGCGCTGTCTGAGTGCCAATGCCGACAGCTTGATCACACGTGCAAGACATGCTTGAGACTTGAGCAGCACAAGCCCTTTCTTCTAAAAACACCTTCAGCAGGAAAAGAGTCCAAAGAAGAACACCAGCCGAGCGGTGAGGCTCGAGTGCGGCAGAGCAACTCACGCATTCTCACTCTCTCCGCTGCTGGTACACTCATGACATCGACAAGTCCCCGACTCATGGGTTGGGGGCGGGTTCGCTCTCGGGTTCTCTTTTTGTGGAGGGATCAGTCCAGTTGCGGAAAACATATCATCTGGATAGTCTGGCTGCTGGCAGTCTTGAGTTCAAGAAGTCTTGACCTGTCTTGAACTCCTTTTTCCTCTTCAACTCATGGCTGCGGAGGCTCCGACATTCCATTGAGCGCCCGCTGCAGGGTGTCCCTTGCTGAGATGAGCTCAGCTGTAATGCTGCCCCGGCGGATCTGGTAGTCACCCTGCAGTGGCCACCAGAGGCTCGACGTCGGGCGCTTGGGCAACTGGGGTCCAGGATGAAGACTGGAGTGGATCTACTCAAAAGACCAACGAGTGGAGAGGATATTGGTGACCCCAGCAAACCTTGGCTGAGGACATCATGATCGGTCGGGTCTTTTTGGGACGGGTAACCGGGTACCCTACTATGACTATGAAACTATGTACCATTGATTGGCCTATCTTTCCACTGCGCCAATTTATCCAACCACGGGTCTTTAAAGAAGACCCCTCCTTCGCAGAATTCGCAGAATGAACCAGCATGTCGCATGCCTTGGAAAGACACATTGATCAAGGAATGAACTCCCCATTGGCCGAGTGCTACCACCCACACCCCGAGGCCGCATGGTCAGCTGCAGCAGAGACCAAGCGACCCAGCGACTCGGTGCGTCGTGCCCGTTGAGCGCCCCACCTTGAAGGGATAATTCACATCCACCGCCAGCCGGAAGAGGGTCAGGAAGGCCAAGGTCAGGGCTGCGAAGAAGCAGCGATCTACGATGGAATATTCACTGTTGGGGTCTGCAGCTTCGCGGAGTGCAAAGGAGATGGAGATGAAAATCGACAGCAAACCTGGAAGGACTTGGGATTCAGAGAAGACGGAACTTAGAAAGAAATGAACGGTTCTTGGGACTTGGGAGCCCAAAAAAATCCAACACCATGCCTCTTAGGTCCGACTCTAAGACTGCGTTCTCAATTCTCAGCCCAGGTCTTCTGGGGCAGAAGGACCGCAGAACCTTCAATTGGTCAATGAAACACCAGCAACCCACAGTTATGTTGCTTTCAAGAGTTGCCTGCCCCGAAGATCAATTTGTGAACATCTCAGTCTGTACCAAGGTCGTTTGAACATCTCAGCTGCCAACCCCCCATCACGTCATCATTCCTCATCAAACCTCATCCCAAGTCGACAAAACCTCTCGCCAAGTCACCGAAGGTCCAAAAGAAGGTCGGAGGAAGCACCAAGGATTCCCTGGACAGCCGACCTGTTCGGATTTCCCGTGGAGGAAACCACGTGCAGCAGAGTGATCGCACGACCCCACTGGTCGCGAGAAAACGATCGCAATCGGCCGGTGGGGCAGGATCTCAACTCCTTGTATGGTGCCAACTGACCAGAAATCGACAACCGCATCAGCTGTTGAGGGATCACAAGCGTAAAACATGTCCCTGTGTGTCTAAAGCAATTGATATACTTCGTCACAACCGGTCAGAATCCTAAAAAAATGCGCGTGGTGCGTCTAACATCTATACTCTATGCTACTACGTTCTTCCGCGATCTGCCACAGGTAAGTCCGAGCAAGAGGGGTAAGCAACAGGATATCGAAAATCCAAGCCTTCCGCAGCCCCACCACTCCCAGAGCCTGCACCTGGCGCGCCTGCACGAAAGTCCTTCAAGGTGTTCACCATGGTCATGCAGAGCTGCAAATCCTGCTCATACAATGACACCTTCTCGCTCCAAACACCTTCACGGCGCTGTCGCCCCCACTGCAGCAACGCCACGCGATAGTTGGAGATGCCATCCTTACAAAAGTCACCGCAAACAAAATCAAGAGGCTTGAGATCGTTTTTTTGCTTTCGGAGTGCCTCGGCTCCCCCAGACCCTCAGAGCACACTGAAACCCACCGATCTGTCCGCGGGGCGCTCTTCTGCCGGCGCTCGGCGATGTCCAGCAGCTCCTCGCCGCGCGTGCTGAACGCCAAGCGCTCCGAGTGGTGCCACAGCGCCTGGCGTCCCGTCCGGCAGGAGGGCGACGGGTTTCGCTTCGCCAAAAAAACAACACCCCCTCTTGGGAACATTGTTGAAGAGTGAAAATGTGTCCGTGTTTTGCGGTGTAAGTCTTCAGGGAGATTCTGTCGCCTCGCTCGCTTCCACCTCGTCTCGTTGTTTCAGGATGAAAGGCGGGTTGGTGGTAAGTCATTTGCATGAGGACGTTCACGCCGCTGGTCCATGTGGTCCACTGCCCTTTCAATAAAACACATGCACTACGTTCACTTCTTGGTGGTTTCTCCGCCTGGAGCATGAACCATTGTGAAAAAAAATCACTCTTCTACATGTGTCTTCAGTCCTGGCGGGCGATCGCAAACATGAAACCAACTGGCTCCCTTTCCGAGCCATGCAGATCATTTTGCACCCTGTTCCGCCGGGCTCGCAAAGGGGAAATGCAGCCCTCAGCCAATTGAAGCACCCCCAACGTCCAAAGCCCAGACACTATTGAAAATTGTGCGCAACATCCACCAAACTGCCCCACAACAAGAGCTGCCTCTAGAGCCTGACGCTCCAGACGTTCCAGTGGTTTCCGAGCGGTCTCGGGCAAAGTGTCCTCCAGGAACATTTTCCCAAAGTGATGTCCAACACATCAACATGAGGCAACTTAAAACATCTCATGAGACAGGTGGAGAGCAGGTGCCAGCGTCAAGTTCCTTATGATTTATTTGATGCCCCCGTCGAAGAACTCACGCTACACCATTTGTCATGAAGACATGGCTAGTCACTACTGTACTGCGCTGTGCAATGACATGTTCGCTGCAAAATGTGCATCACCCTCGCCCTTGCCTACAACTTGCACCGCGGCGCGGTGCGTTCAAGAAATTGTGTTTGACCGCGTCCTTCTTCAAGGACTCGAAGAGTTCCACCGTGTGCTCAGCCAACGAACTCAAAAGGGCACACTCCCTCCTTAGGCTCGACGCGCGCGACACGTCGGGCGACGGTGACGCTTGGAAGCATGAAACAACGAGGATATACAAAATGCTACCAAAACGCCAAGAGTCACGCAATTAGTTTGAAGGTCTGCAAGCCTTTGAATTTGGAGTGTCAGTGTCACACCCGAATAGCTTCCAAACACAAAAGTCTCGACAGTCACGAAGTCCGTCACCACGTCTGCTAGTTCATCGGCACTCTCACCTTCATTCAGCTGCAGGACGTACCGCAAGAACCGCACAATTCCAGGATACGCCAAGAAAGCCAAAATGAATGCAAAAATCCGGTACAGTGGACTTTCCAATGACGTGATCGGCACATTGGGCCCGAACTTCCTGGACAGATCTTTGAGGCCAATGGGGGCGCCTCGATAAGCAGCCTTCACCGCATCACCGGTGGAATATTGCCGGGTTTGCTTGAAGATCGACGTGTCCGGCTGGAAGAGTTTGCTGAACCAAGTCGAAGGATCGTCATTCCACATAACTATGCAACGTGCTCGCGCAGCCTGTTTGGAGGCTGTGGGACAACGGCCAGCCAGCGAGCATCGCGTCACCAAAACAGCGCATGAGACACAAGCTGACACACAAACCCGGTGTGCCTGCGCTTTGGCTGGAACCCGTAGCTGCCATCGACGGGGTCTCCGTGCGCACGGCCGCGAATTGTTCGAGAGGACAAACCGTTCTGAAGCCGGGAAGCGAACAATAGGCTCAACCATGGGTCTTCGGCTGGCCGAGTTTCCAACTCCAACCGGCCAACGGTGGCGCGATCATGATGACTTGAATCTTATGAATGTTATGTCCCCGCAAAATGTTTGGGTGCACAAATCCAAAACTGCAACACTTCGCAAATAGGCTGAACTTTGCCGAAACATTGAGTTTTACAAGTGTCCATTCCATCTTTTGTAGCACCTACCCCGCCGACTTCATTCACAGCACTTGGGGTGCTCTACGGCGTTTCCGTTGGTCATGCGCCGGTGGCGCGATTACATCGAAGCTCGAGGCATAACGGCGGCACATGAACAATCACAACTCCACAACAATGCCTAACTCTACCCGACGTCGGTGGCGCCCAACAAGCTGTCACCAAGCAACCACCTAATGACCACTTGTTTGAACGAACCCCGTCGGTCAGCAACATTCCTCCTCGGACCCGAAAAAAAAGAGAGCTGGCCGCTGTGGGAGTGCACTTTTTTCCATGATTTGTAGCTTCATCTGGATCATCTGAACCTAATCATCTTTGCAAAATGTTCATCCACCCGCGTTTTTTGCACTCTCTACTTCAAAACCTTCTATTTGCTGCTGAAATGCTGAAAATTACAATATAAACAAGCAATCTCTCTTGCATTGATAGGCTTGTGAAAGATGTTCTTTTGTAAGCATTGATAGGTTTTTGAAAGTTGTTCTTTTGTAAGGTTTTGTTCTTTATGGTGAATGATATCTTTTTAATATGGTTGTGAAATTTGTAAATTTCATGCTCTATATGCAATTGGTAAACATATTTATTCATTCAATTATGAATCATAGAAATGATTAAATCCATAAGCTAGGTGTTTACCAAATAGTCTCCATGCAAAATCATATTTCTGTCTTTTAGAATGGGAATTGTATTGCTCTTATTAAATGCAGTTGGGTAAATACATCAGAATTAGAAGGCAAATAGTTATAAATCCTAAATAACTAAATTCTATTTTAATTCTTATTCAATTCAAATTCAAATCTATATGTAAATTCAGGATCAATTCTATTTCAATTATATTTCAATTCTATTTTGCTTCAAATTTCCTTCATTGGGGTTCAATGCAAGCCAAATTATAATTCGATTTTACCTTTAATTTCATTATTATATAGTTTAGATTCAATTATAATATTTCATTAGTGTTGAATTAAAATTTGGATTTTATGAAAACCTTCTAGGGAATTGATCTTGCTTTGAACATAAAGATTTTGAAATTTTTCCAATATGGAAGTATATTCTTTCTTTAATGAAATATATTCATGCCACCAATAATATTCATTCTCTAGAATGGAAGCAAAACTCAATTAGAATTCCATGTGCATTGAATTGGAATCAAGTTAGGAAATTAGATATATAGGTCAATTGAATTTAAGTTGTATAAAGACGTTAACATTAGAAATCATTAACAAATCAATTGGAATAGACAAAATGACAATGTTTAATGCAAAACAAAATGAAATAGAAGTAAATGAAAATAGATTGGAATTAAATTGGAATTGAATGAACAATATTAAATCAAAATCCATTATTCAAATTGCAATTGACCTAGACCTAAGGTAGAATTGAATTAAAGATATTTAACCTAGGAATTAATTAATAGAACAATATTGCAATATTGATATAAAATTAGGTTACAAATAATTCAATTTAATGAAAATTGCAAATTTAATTTGAATTCCAATAAACAGAATGCAAATATATTCGATTTAGAATTAAATTCGAAATATGTTGCAAATTCACATATAAAAACAATTTGGAATTTCATATTAGATCCAGAATAATCAAAGATAATTACAATTACAACAAAATTAAATTAGAATAAAATTGAATTATAGTTTGATTATAATGTATTTTAAAAATACATAAACTTAATTTAGAATTTAATTGGGTTCAATTTAGAATTAAAATAGAAGTCTATTACATATTCAAAACAAATTCAATTTAAAATTCATTTAGATCCAATTTTATTATCAGTAAAAATAGAAATGAAACACATTCAATTAGAATAAATATTGATTTAGAATTTAGTTAAATTGTATTTAAGTCAAATTTCATAGAATTAAATTAGAATTGAGTTAATAACTAGGTAGAAATGAATAAGAAATAGTGTTTATTTCTTTTTTAGCAGACCAGCCAAAAAAAATTCAGACCCATGGAGAGGGACCCAGGAGAGATTGGACAGAAGACATAGGTCCAACAAGTTCAGACTCATGGAGGGGGACCCAGGAGAGGCTAGGCGGCTAGACAGGAGACACGGGTCTGATTTTTATATTTTTTTGTTTTTGTTTTTTTTTGGTAGACCAACGAAAATACAAAAAAATCAGACCCAGGGAGAGGGAACCAGGAAAGGCTAAACAGGAGACAACCAAAACTGCAGACCACATGTCCACAGAGTCAGACAAGAGCCCCAATGGGGTCTGCAGTTTTGTTTTTTTGTGTTTTTTTGGATTTTCGAGGTTTGTGCATGGTCTGCTCCAGATGGCCAGAACCTCGAAAATCCAAAAAAACAAAAAAACAAAAACTGCAGACCACATGTCCACAGAGTCAGACAAGAGCCCCAATGGGGTCTTGCAGTTTTGTTTTTTGGTGTTTTTTTGATTTTAGATGTATTTGCATGGTCTGCTCCAGGTGGCCAGAACCTCGAAAATCCAAAAAAAACAAAAGAAAACAAAACTGCAGACCACATGTCCACAGAGTCAGACAAGAGCCCCAATGGGGTCTGCAGTTTTGTTTTTTTTTTCGGATTTTCGAGGTTTTTGCATGGTCTGCTCCAGATGGCCAGAACCTCGAAAATGCAAATCAAAAAAAAAACCAAAAAAAAACTGCAGACCACATGTCCACAGAGTCAGACAAGAGCCCCAATGGGGTCTTGCAGTTTTGTTTTTTTTGGTTTTTTGGATTTTAGAGGTATCTGGTCTATGTTTTTTTTTTTTTTTTTTTTTTTGTTTTCTTGGTTTCACAGGCATTGCAATCTTGTTTTTGTTTTTTGGTTTGCATGTGTCTTTCGGCCTTTTCACACAATGTAAGAGACAGATGCAGTGAGAGACAGATGCAGTGAGAAACAGATACTTTAAATATTGCAAATTTGCGCAAAAAAACGCACTCCCGTGGTGGCCTGTTCCGGGAAAAAAAAAAAGGTCGCGCTGGCTACGAATCAAAGCGTGCAAGAAAAAAATTTGTCGAACCGCGCGAAAGCATCGTCAAGAGCGCCCCACAAAACCTGAGAAAACGCTCCCCAGCCACCCAGTATGCCCAACTAACATGGACTGAAATCTCGGACCGAAATTTTCCACCACCAAAAATGCGATATCGACAGCAACTACTGCCCATGTATTCCCCCTGCGCGGTTCGGAGGCGCCATGGGTTCAACCAACGCAAAGCCACGCGAAGTCAAGGTTGCATTTGTTTCGCCCACGCCATGACATAAAATGATTTGTGGAAGATCGACAAGCAGAGGCGTTGGCATTGCAGTGTCCCACTCGTGTGAGAGAAGGATGACAAATGTGAATTTCCATGCTTATTCGGATCGTCTCTGTGCGCTACATTTTTCCATGGGCAACTACGTTTTTCGATTGTTTTCGGTGTATTTTCCAATCTCCTGGGATGCAGAGGGGCAAATGGACAATTTGTATGATGTGTTGGCCCTCGTTGTTGGGAATTGTTGCCAGGCTGGTGCCGTTCCTACAGTGGCCGGTGACTTCAATGCTTCTTTGGGATCCCGTCTTTTGACTGATAATGTTGAAACACTAGGTTTCTGTGGCGTCGGTGTTCGAAATGAAACAGGATGGATGCTATCCCAGTGGGTTCATCAAACAGGTTTGATTGTGCAAAGCTTAGATTTGCCGACGATCAATGGACGGAATGCTCGTCCAAATTGATTTCATTTTGACAGCTGCACCGTTTCGGTTGGTCAAATCCTGGTGTGACTTTGCGTTGCCGGTTGGGTTGGATCACAGATGCGTTCACTGCATTCTAGAACGGGCATCGTGTTCTCCAAGGCCTGTGCCCCGAAACCATCGTTTCAAAAATTGAAAGCCAAAACGTGATCAGAACAAACTTCCATCTTCATACCAGGCGTTCATTTCGCAAGAATTACTGCGGATTGGAACACCTATATGGCACAAGTTGGAGGACATTCTTTTGAATGCCGCTCGTGTTTTCGGAGAACCTCGACCGATGAATATACACTTCTCACCGTCCACACAACTACGAACTCTCCGATGTGATAGGAGACGCGCAATCATGCCAGAACAACGGAAACATCTTAGTTGGCAAATCCGAAAATTGCACCGCTCGGAACTGAAAAACTGGAGAGCAACTCGGCCCGCCATGTATTGCAGAACAGTTCATGTTGGAAGGACTTACGGAGGCAATTGTCCTCACTTTTCGCCCGGCACCTGGTTCAACAACCACTCACTGACGAATTTGTTGATCTCTTTGAATTGGTTTTGGTTGGCCCCGTCCACGAAACAGCATTGCCAGAACGTTTGGGTGAAGTGGAATTTACATTGACAAGAGTTGCCGCAAGCGATCAGTCGGTTGAAAGTGAACAAGGCCCCCGACACTGTCGGCATTGCAGCGGAACTGTTGAAATTTATCCCGGATGATATCTTACAGTGCCCTTTAGGTATTTACAATTTCGTGTCGTTCAATGGTTCGGTGCCACCAATGTGGAAAGAAACGGTATTTGGAATGTTGCCAAAGAAAATGCGTGCCGTTCAGAAATCAGATTTCCGACCTGCTGCAAACACAAGATTGTTTTACAAAGCTTTCGCGTACATGCTTTTGGGGAGGATGGAGAACACTTCGGATCTTCATCAGCCAGAGGCGCAGCACGGCTTTTGTCCAAACGAAGAACATTTGGTGTCTGCAGCCATGTTTTTGGATAAAGGATGGGCATCTGGCAAAAAAATTTTGGGTTGTTAGCTTGGATCTAAAGCTTTCGATCGTGTGCATTGGCCCGCCTTATGGACAGCACTGGAAAGACAAGGCGTTTCTCAACATTTGATTTGGCTATTGCACAAGCTTAACGA